CACGCATGCACATACACACACACGCAATTACACCACGCGTACACACATTCACGCACACGCAAATATAGTGCGAAGGCTGCAGCATGCAAAATACGAGAGCGAGACATGTACAGTGTGTACAGTGTGTACAGTGATAGTGTACAAGTACTACAAGTAACTAACTAGTTACTTGTAGTATTCTCGCTCCACATACATGTATACTGGCACACACGCAGAGATAGACAGCATTAGACACAGCACACAAAGCGAAGGGCAGTTGGCCGCAGCCAGATGTGACGAAAAAACCGGTCTACACTGGTGAGACTCAAAACTGACTGAAGAGGTCAGGAAAAGAAGCGACAATAAAGAAAACACCAGATGCCTTATTTGAAACTGAAAATGTTCCGGGAGAAATCATTTCTCGGCGGCCGAGCGCAGCGCGCGCAGCATGCACATGGACGTAGAGTACATGTACATACATTTAGGGTTCCCTGTGAAAAGACGGCAACGAGTTACGTCTGTAGGGATTTCCTTAACAAAAAAAAACACTTTTTTTGTATATTTTTTAAGAGTCTCCGTACAGAGCAATGAAGAATGAACTGCCATGGCTGGCTACCGCCCCCTCCCTCCATATTGGCCTATATTCCCTGGCCACGGGAAGGTGAAATAAATAAAAAATAATAAAGGAAAGGAACGGTTGGCATAGCCCCAATATGGCGACAATATAAAACCGTATGGGGTGTGGGTCGCAAGACCGGGGCTCTGCCAACCGATGATGGCTGTAAGCAGGAGCACAATCCTCCACCTTGTAACATGCACTCAACCGATCAACATAATTACATGTATGAATGTATCAGACAAGACATACATAGGAATGGGTTGGCTCTCCACATTGGAGCTCTAGGTTTGCCGAGTCGAAGGTTCGATGGACATCTGGTGTACTCTGAATGGCAGTTGTGAGTCAGTCAAGCGTCAGGTCAAGTCGGCGGAATAGCGCGAGCTCCAGTGTGGGGAGCAAACCCATTCCTAAAAAAATCATCGCCGAAGTCGCAACTAGCCCTTTCCCAAAGGTGCTCTTTTAATTCGCACTTAGTGTTGTTGTTTGTTGTTGTTGTTTCTTTATTTTACTTCACCATATGAACAGGCAAGACTGCCTTCTCACCGGGGCTGTTGGCCCACGGCTCTCACAATATGATGAAAATGTTTAAAATGTGTATGAAGAAGAAAGGAACGGAAAAGAAGATGAAATGAAAGGAAAGAAAACAGTAGGTATTAATTTTATGAAGGGGGGGGGGGGCGGTATGAAATGGGTATTATCATAGTTGATGAGAGAAGTATGATATACAATATTCTTGTTCTATAGACTATTTAGTACGGGCATTTCATGAGAGTCATGCATGGGCAAGGCAGGATTTGGACTAGGATAGAGGACAAGAACATAATTGATGAGCATCTGTTCAGGCAGAATCTGTGAAGAAGACATAGTAGGCACAACATCGGAGAGCTAGTTGACGAGGGAGATGAGGTCATAGCCAGACAGCAATGCTTGAAACGTGTGGCGTACGTCGCAAGCGCGAATATCAGCAGGGAGAGAGTTCCATGTGGTACTGCCAACAAAGGCGATAGAGCTACGGCCTGAGGGACCAGGTAGGAACGGCACTCTGAGCAGCTGGCTGACCTGACCACGCGTGACACAACTTCTGTCCACATCCGTGGCAATGAGGGAGTAGTAGGATTGGAACAGTGAGCTGGCTCTGCCATGAAGGCAGCGGAAGACGAAGAGAAGCAGACGTTGCACGTACAGCTGGTGGAGCTGAGGCATTGATAGTCTGGCAAATAGGGGAGCAGTGCTTTTCGCGTCCCTCAAAATATGCTGAAAAAGAGCTCTTTTTTCAGTGAAAACAGGCAAAAAGTGCTCTTTTTTCAGTGAATCATAGCCATGATAATATGTTCAGATATGAACCCAAGCTGAGAAATGAATACGCACTCTTCCATTTACATGTATGGGTCCACGAAAGGCAATACAGGAAGTAAAGTTCAAAAAACCCACTTTTTAGAGCATTGTGTGCACGGGTACAAGCTAGGCCTTGACGGATTATGCTAGCATAATTTTTCGCATAATTCCTACCAAAATCGAATAATCGCATAATTCGAGGCAAATTGCATACGAATCGCATAAAATTGGAATAATCCGCCTGTTCGCATCAAATTCCACACAGTTGTACATGTTCTACAAGTACAAGTACAAGTAGATGCGCTAGGAAGTTGTAGGTTTACGACGCCCTTGATAACATGTCCAGTCCACTACAATCAGTGATGGTCGTAGCTAGGTTGGACGGTGTGTTGAGCCCGTTGAACCTATGCGACTACAGTCCAACGCCCTCTACAAAAAAATTCCCTTGTTATTTTGCACAGAACCATTATGCATTAGCAGCATATGTGAGCATAATGCGGCATAATATGATATCTCTTAGCATAAAAATAGCATAATTCTGCAATTTTTTCAGCAATGCGAAAAGCATAATTTCACGAAAATATTAGCATAATCCGTCAAGGCCTAGTACAAGCTTCACAAACTTGCTGCCCCCCCCCCCCCCAAAAAGCGGCGTGCAAAAGGTACCTCCTGCTGGTTGGCGAGGGCAAAAAGCCGGTACAGTGTACCATATTCGACAATGGAAACTAAAAGAGAGACAGAGACCATTTTTAAAATAAAATCGAATTAAATTATTAAATTTCAGGACAACCCAAAGGGGATCACACCGGTTCTTCACTGGCTTCGAAGGCCACTGTACAAAAATAATATAAATGGCTAGCTCGCGCTCGCCTTGCGTTTATATTCATATTCTATTTATTACAAAATCTCAAGACTCGGTGGAAACACCGGCCAATGTTAAAATGGAATGGACAATAGCAGCCAGTTGTGCACTGCGTCCATGTGATTACGGGGTTGTGTGAGCGAGTTTATAAAGAGCGGAGGATAGGAGCATGCGGGCTTGACGGAGGAAAATTTTCAGGATTTTCTTGTGGGGTATTTCAAGCTTTGCAGCAGCGGATGAGGACAATCCAGCCCAAGACGTATCGGCATAATCGAATAGTGGGCGACGGTAGGAGAATTTCTAAGGATTTGCTTGATTTTTGACAGATAATGTGGGGCAACCAAGTGCAGAGTCAATTACAAAGCCAAGGTGTTTGTGAGAAGACACTATGTCAATTGGATTAGGAAAATTGGGATGGATGAGAGATGTGAATTCTGGCTGGGACGGGATTCGGGGAAGAGCATGATCTTTGTTTTTGATACATTTAAGCCTCCATGGATCCAGTTCAGCATGCAGTCGACGAAGAGTCAACCATGTCCATGGTCAACTGTCAAATCTGAAGAGACTCGGCCGGCTGCACTGGCCATGCCATCGCCAAGAGATATCTTGAGTCTCGTGCAGCGTGCCACGTGCAGCTCACGCGCGCTACGATGCACATGGTGACATGATCACAGCACGTGCATGTTCATTTTGTTCATATCCGATCCAGAGATCTGCGCGGGGATCCCGTGAGTAGAAGTGGATCGGGGAACGTGGGGATTTTTTACTGCACAGGATAGCCCTAGCCGGCCCCCCGTGTGACTCTACGTCGGATTTCATTGGTGCGCAATGCGTTGATTACGTACCTGATGTACGGCGACTACTGTAGCTAGCTAGCTACAGCTTACATAATCAGGATTTTGTCGTGGGCTAGCAGCACTCCGCGGCTGGTTTCTTCGCATCACCCACGCACATCTCGCAGGACCTGTAATCAACAAACTTTTCAGCATGGAGTTCAACGCTTGGACAGTTGGAGACACAGTCATTTTTCTGTTTAGCTTTTAGTACTAGTACTAGTAGTAGTATCACGGCTTGTGAGCGCTCGAGCAGGCGTTGGACTTATTTTAGTTGCTGCTTGTCTAGTAATAGTACGCATGGCAGTAAAGCCTCTTGCACAGTTGTTGCAGGCTCGCTGCTTGAGCTACGTGTACGGGTAGGAGAAATCACTACTACTAGCCTGATCTCGCCCAACTCGGCTCAGAAGTAGGCTACATAATCGTCATTTTGTATTGGAAAGACTAAAACCGTTGTTACTTTAGATCAGGGCAACGGCACACTACGGGCAGGATGGTGCTGACTGGCTGCGCTCTAGTTCCGCATGGAACAATGATGCTGGACCTGGATGTTGAAGGTAAATCGCCTAGGATTAGTAAAAAAACTTGAGACGGATTTCCGCTGTTTACTTTCTACGAGGCCACTCTGCCCGGGAATATTGCGCCTGGAAACGACACTCGCCCCAGCTTGAGTTTACGTTTGAAGTCGGAAGCTGCGACCACTCAACATGATTGCTACCCATCAACAATGGTTTGATTGCTCGTGCAGAGATAAAGAGGTGACTTTTTCCAACGGTGACACTGGGGCTGCAGCGGAAACGCACGAAACACCTGGACACCGCATTGCAAAACTAAAAAAATCGCTCAAGCCTAGCCCAGGAGTTTTATCGCGCGCGGGTGTACGTGTGTGTGCAAACGTGTGTGTGTTTGGGGGGGGGGGGGGGGGATCAAATTTCTCAAGAGCTCAATATTATTATTATTATTAATCATGTATGCATATCTGATCTCAAGTCTTGTACTACACCTACTAATACTACTTCAGTAGTACTATTATACTTGCTCAGAGGGGTATGTGGGGGGTGGGGTTGAGGTGCACAGAGTAGGAAATTATCACTCCAAACCTGCCTTGTCAACAACTTGGCTACCACTACAATACTCACTAGGGTTTACCAGGTGTTAGCGGCCATCGTGAGTTCCCTTGAGGAACGGACACGACAATTTACGTTTTTTCTTTCTTTTCTTACAATACTCACATCTTTGACAGGTTGACTGTGGACCATTGCTTAGGCCAAGTTAGGGGTACTGTTGTGGGCAAAGAAATCCAGTCGAATGACCAGGGACCTCAGTGCGTACAGAACGCTGCGTGCAGAGCACATGCTCATCCGATGCGACCAGCGTGCTGCAGCGCATACGTAAAGGTGTGCAGATCGACCGTATGCTTACTCACGGCTGCATGGCCCGTGCCCTGGGGCCGCTAGACGTGCGAGCGGATTTCCGTATCCACGGCAGTAGCATATCGCAATAGAGGATCCTTGGTTCGAGGTTCACACTCAACTTTCTGAGGCCAGCCAATTGTAAGGAGCAGCTGGCTAGCAAAAACATGGTACTCCCTGACAGTCACCGACACTGCCTAGGCACTGCCAAGGCTCAAACCACCATTTACAAAATACTGCACTAACAAAAATCTCGGCAAACTCAATATTGTACACATTCTGGTGTCAGCCTGATCCCTAGTCATGACAGATCTGCTGCCAACTCTACATTGTACGACTTACGAAACGTACGTGAAACACGTGATATGAGTTTTCTCACGTGATATGAGTTTTCTACATCGGAGACCCCATATGCAGAGTTGAAAACTCTTGCGAGCATATCAAGTCCTGGATATGTTTATACACAATGCGTCTGCAATTTGAAAATTTTACGGGCAAGGGAAGAGAAAGAAAATCTTGGAATTTCGGCAACAAGCGCATCACTAACCTGACGCGGAATCAGTGTAAAGCCTGTGCCTGTTGTACTGTAAACTCACAATGAGCTTTCAGTTTGTTTGTGTACTCTGCATTGTACTGTGTTATATCCCAGGGTGCCACTCAAGCCTGTTCCAAATGGTTTGAGTATAACACCACCCCCCCCCCCCCTCCCTCCCTTCAGATCAAATTGGTATGGGTCTAACACTTCTCCAGCCCCCCTTCCCAATTCAAAATGGTGTGGGTCTACCCCCCCCCCCCCCCCCACCTTCCCCTCAGTTCACATTGGTATGGGTCTAACACTCTTCCACTTCACTCCCCGTCCCAATTCGAAAAGGTGTGGGTCTACCCCCTGGCCTCCCCTTGCCCTCAGTTCAAATTGGTATGGGTCTAACATTCCTCCACCCCCCCCCCCCCACCCCACGTTCCAATTCGAAAAAGTGTGGGTTCCCCCCCCCCCCCCTCCCTCCCCTCCCAGAGTCTGTGCTCGAACCTTCATCATTATTTGAAAGGTTTTTCTAAATTGTCTTGGTTTAACTCTAGTATACCCCCCCCCCCCCTCTGCTGCATGTGTGTTATCAGGATTACCTCAAGGCGTACCGGAGCTGTATGAACGCACCATGGCCATGATGACGGAGATCAACTCGCTGGACATTGATCTCTTGGTGCTGGTCACACCGCATGGCCTCTGCTTGGAGAGGGACATCGGCATCTACACCAACAAGTACGCAGCCGGCAACGCCGAGTGGAACGGCATGTGGGGACACGTCAAGGCCGATGTGAGTAGAATACTTGTACAGTACCTGTAACTGCAAAATGGAATCTGGAGTTGCTCAAGTACACGACGGGCATAGTGCGGCCCTATACCAGCGAACACTGGACCGCAAAATGGTGCAAGGCACAAACGTGACTCCAGCTGCCGGTTATCTTTGAGCAGCACTCTAGTTCTTTGTTTAGGAGTACATCCACTGCACACCATCGTTCATGCCGTTTGTCACAGTGTATGCGTCCATACAGACACGTTTTGAGTCGTCTGTGCTGCAGAGCTGTGCGTGTATCATGGCAAATTGCTGTGCATGACTCACAAGAAAGGGCTTGCTCCGCATACAGGAGCTTGCGCTTTTCCGCCGACTTGCCTTGACACGATTTGACTGGCTCACGATTGCCATGAAGAGCACACGAGCAATCCATTTCAAGATGGATCATAGCCGAAGTCGCTACCACTATTTCGGCCTCACAAGAGTCTGTCACTTCATTATGACACACAAAGAGGACATCACTACCGTCCAATTACTGTGCTACACACTAAGAGATTATCCAAATGGATCTGTTGACTGGCTCACTGTAATGTTCCTGCTCAGCAACTATTTTGATTGCCTATAAGGATTGTGAATACTCAGTGGGCGGCAATAGCTCATTGATTCCTGTTTCTAGAAAAGAAAAGGGCCAGGGAACTTCAAGTCACGCTATCATGTCCACTAACACCACCAGTTACTAAACAATCAGCTCATGCGATAACATTGCATGACACTGACTGACGGTACTGACGTTCTACAACTAACTGGTGGTGTTAGTGGACATCATAGCGTGACTTGCAGTTCCTTGGTTCCTTTTCTTTTCTACAAATATATCCTTGGCTCTCCATTCCAGTTAATTCCTGTTTTTTATCCATTTCTTTCATGTCCTGATTGCTATGTTCAGATAAAATTGAGCCGCAAGTGTAGCCGGGAGCTGTTAGATGCATGGCGTGCGGACGGTGTCGGTGTTCAGGGAGTGAACGCACTGACCAGCTGCCCTACCGTACTCAGCTGGGCTGAGGTGATTCCCATCTGGATGCTCAAGGTACAGCTAGAATTCAGCTGGGATTTGCTGTGTTGCATGTGAACTTCATTTTATTAACACATAGAAGAGAGATATTTGTGTTGCCTCTGACCACGCAGAACGACAAAGAGCAAAGCTACGCTCTGCCTCCGCAGCATTGGGCACTTTCAGCATACTGGTTGCATCATCCGGTGTGGAATTTCACCATTACCGTGACAGTGAAGCTTTGGTCTAATGCACTAGTGCTTCCCAGGGCTCTACACATCTCTACTTTTACAATTATTTAGCCTAGGTGTATATAGGGTGAAAGTACTGGTATTGTAGGAGTTCAGGTGTTTGGAATTGGCCACGAATGCCACAGCTTGTGCTTGGGCATCGTAGTAACCGCCATCGGCAATCATTCGTGTAAGGCTGTGTTCAATCCGGTACATACTCTTTTTTATTTCTTGTTTTTGTTCTTGCCAGAAACTAGGCTACGTTGGTAAGTTCATCATCGTTTTGCGTTTTTTTGGGCTTTTTTATTCTCTGCAGAACCTAGGCTGTGCAGACAAATCACCATCGTTTTGCGTTTTTTGTGCTTTTTTGTGCTTTTTATTCTCTACAGAAACTAGGCTACGCAGGTAAAATCATCATTGTGTCGATGCCGCACTCTCAGATTTCCAACGGAATGGCTACCGACCCTGCTCACGTCGACAACATTCACCGGGCCGGAGAGAGGTTAGCAGAGTACTGCGACACGGGAATGTGGAGCGATGACCGCGTGTTTGTGGCAGTATCAGGTGAGCTGATCGACACTGTGATCTTTGCAGGAACGTAGCTGGTGCCCATTTGGGGGGGGGGGGGGGTGAGTGCATGGCTGCATATTGTGCAGGATGATGGCTGGTGAATGCCAAACATAGTATTATCTACATTCTGAGGCTACAAGTCGAAAATTGTAGGTCGACATTTTTAGGGGGGGGGGGGGGGGGGGTGCGTGCCTGTCTCTAGTGAGAAAGTGGTGCAGGTGTGATACGTTGTACTAACTCGGGGAACAACAAAGTGTATTTAGTGTCCAACGTATCTATTATGCTAGCATACTTCAATGTTGTGCAATACACTGACACCCCAGACAATGCCCACGCTATGCAAGTGTTCGTCTTCTCAGAATACACTCAAAGCTTGTTTTTCCGGGTGGTCCGGGACCGGGTACTGCCCGTAACTTTGAAAAGTCCGTAACTCCGAATCACGTACATTTTGATGGGGAAAGGCCATAGATATGGTATGTGATGTCACTATTTCCACAAAAAGTGGCAAAGGAATAGTAATATTTCCACTGAAATTCGCCCAAAGGGTGCACGGTAGACCGAAGTGCTCGTAACTCCGGGTCCGGAAAACCGAGGTATGAGTGTATGTAGTAAGTCAGTTCCACTGCATGGCCTGTATCTGGCAAGTCTATCCGGAATATTCGACATTCTTCTGTTCATACCATGGTGCTGATTTGGACAATGGCACCACCGCGTCTATGTTCTAGGTTTCTCAACGCCAGATATGCATCCTGTGTCGGATTGTTTTTGTAATTATATTGATTCTATTTATAGTGGTGACTGAGAGTCATGACAGACATCTGCTTGATAGCAATAGACCCACTAATTTAAAAAAATGTCACGGTTCGCGTGAGACTCGGCTGGAAGCCGGGCTTTCCGCATCCGTAGGAACGCCACCACCCTTCAAGGATCAAGGCGCAGATGCAGCTCCTAAAGCGGTGGGAGATGAGTAGATCAGCTCACCAGCACTAGGGAGAAGGAAATACCGTAGTACCCCGACTATAGGTCGCACCTTTTTACACTTAAAAACAAGGATGAAAAAGGGGTTGCGACTTACAATCGAGCATGACTTACTAATGAACTCAATATAGCAAAACAATATTGCTCAAACCTGGAAATGGGGGTGCGACTTTTAATCGAGTGCGACCTATAATCGAGGAAACACGGTAGAACTCTGGACCTGAGTGTGTTCTTGTCATGTGCATCTCCGAACTATCAACTTGCACTTTTCCTGTGAATAATTCCTGCATATCGGCCCTTTTGTCCATTTCTCTTGTTCTCTGCAGGTGATTTGGCCCATGCCCACCCGACTCTCTGTACCAATCCAACCTTCCTACCTCACCCGACGTGGAGCTTGCCGAAGAGTCCCGCCGAAGCCGTGGAGTTTGATCGCAAGTTCGAGGAGTGGGTGGTAGACACTCGGCGAGGTAAGACATTGGCCGGCCGCTGCTTAGAGCTGGAAGTGCGCGCTTTATCCTGCGCCCTGGCCGGTTGTCTCTTGCTCGAGGGTGCAATGTTCTCTCAACACTTGCGGGACAGCGCCTTCGACGGCAAGGTGTTCGTCAACAAAACACCAACCTATTTCACTATGATGGCTGCTCTGTTCACGCCGTGTGGCTGACTCGTAGCGCCTAGCATCTAGTAGTAGACATGATGTCGTTGGATCAGTGAAAGTCTATACCACAACGATGTGTCAATGAAGTATTCGGATATTCGGATCCTGCTGAGGTAGGCATCATTTACACGCCGCCTGTAGCTGGCCAAATTGGACGGAGAGGCATTTAATCCGGAACAGAAGGACGTGTTGGACATGAATGTGCGGTAGACTGGTGACATGGTAATGCAAGGGGCAGCTGGATGTGCTCTGCTGTCATCGGCGATTCATTACTGGACGTACTAATAACATATGTAGTGACGTTGTAGCCATGCCGATATCAAGCAGTATGAAGTCCTGTAGTAGAACACATACTGTACCTAAAATTTTGATTGGCTAGTTCTTGTCTGTGTGACGGCTGATATCAGAATGAAGACGAGTTATACTCGGTCATTTGTTTGGCGCCACCTCAATGCTAGAGGTATTGCACCATTCTTTTCACATCTTCTTCAATGCTCATGACTGTACTTGGATCGGGTTTTGCTCAGCAAATCGTACTCTTCTCACCTGATGTAGTCTATACATGATTGTATGTGTATGCAGTAGTGCCAGTAGCTCTGCCTTTTGACCTTGGTTTGTAACAATCCTGGAGATTGCCTAAGGCTGATATTATAATAATATTATTATACTATTTTGTGCATTACAGTTTAGGGACAAAATTGCCCAGGAGTCTTTGACGGAATTATTTCAATTATGGCGACATTATTTATTACCCCAGATGGAGAGCCATACATTTCTGGAAAGTGTGTTTGCCAAATTCTTCTTTTCTCTGAAGTACAACTGCCTGCTATTATAGTGTAGTGATTGTTACGTTGTCAGACCTATGGGCCTGTGATGCTGATTTCATTTGTTTCTATAGTATCTGTGGTCCTCTCCCAGGTCTGGCTGCCGTATCTAGTGTGAATCCAAAGCTGGCATTTCCCAAGGTGGATTTCTATTGTCTGGCATGCCGCATATCAAAGTAGCCGTATACAAACTGGTGTTTTCTACTTTCGTTCATTGTGAACATTGCTGCGGTCTTTGTTCTTTTCATGTCTTTTCTCGCTTCAGCTGTTCTCTATATCCATCCTTTGCTCAGCCTCTATTTGTATCTTCCTTCAATATTATGTACATAGTGCACAAGAAAAGTGTCGTTATTGGCGACTTGTCGTTATCCGTGAGTTTGAGAGTATGCAGTCAAGTGGGCACTAGGTCCGAAGATTGTGTCGTTACTCGGGAGTTATTGCTGTAAAGTTGGTGTACCAGAGGTCGTTGTCGAAGAGGTCGACTCTCGCCGCACATGGCTAGCGGTTTAAAATGTACCAAGTTTGGTCAGCCGGGTGATAAATTCCCTCAGCAAGAATTACTTAAGACACCCTGGAACGCAAATATATGTGAGGTCAATCACATGCACCAAACCCATCGTGTGCTGGAGAGGTGGACCCAGAAGAACACGGGCCTTAGTGTTGTATTGACTAGTGGTGTGCACAGGTAGACCGGTACCCGTGCTACCCGGGAGGACCTCGGGTAGACGGGTACAGAATAGTACCCGGACACCCAACGTCGCAGATGACATTATGTACAATGCACCTGTACAAATAATTCATGTCGTACTCCGCATGTCTACCCAGTGTGTAAGGGAAGGGGTGGATTGTGGTGTTACCATGGAAACATTACCTGGTCGGGTACCCGTGGAAACTACCCGAACCCGATACCCGAAGTAAATGCTACCCGACTCAGCCCTGGTATGTACTGACCACACCATTATTTTGCCTGAAGTAAATTCTAGTCCCAAGCAGTAGTGATTCAATGTGCTGATCTTGGGTCCGAATCCCGACAAATTATGCCCCCCCCCCCTTGGATGGGGCTGACGGTACCAGCCTAAAGATTACCTTGCGTTGTCCCTGCATTGGGCATGTACACAAACAGCATATGGGTAGCTACTGTGCTGCTCAATGAAATCCAATCGAGTCGCTCGAGTTCCCACATTTCATCATTTTGCAGCCCGGTGTTTGCAGGTCTAACTCTAAGGCTGCGCAACGCCCGTCGCGTACTTCAACAACATGGCTGAATTTCGTTGAGCAGCAGACGAGCGCGGCGTTTTGCTACTCCATGGGTAGATCTAAACCACATGGGTACATTACACGTGTTTCATTACAGGACTACAGTCTGTTGTTGCATCGCACGGGTATAGCCCGTGGATACATCACATGGTTACATCATAATGAATGCAACCCGGGACTACATCATGTGACTACATCATAATGGCTGCAGCCCCTGACTATATCACATGATTACACCATAATTTTTTTAATTTTTTTTGAAAGGGTGCAAACTGTGGATATATCACGTGAGTATGTTTCGTGCCGCAGTGCTGCAGGTGGGTGCTGCTGAGCTCAAAGAAAAAATCACTAGGTCCCCGCACCGCTTCCACCTGGAAACAATGTTGTGTTACAAATCATTACCGCTGAGCTAACTCACTGTCCCCTTGGCAAGTAAAACCTATTGAGCTAAAGTGTACCCTAATCACACGGCAATGACAGCTCAGAGAAGAGTTCTTTCTTCGCCGCGGTATTCATTGTGATGTATAACGTGTGATATCGCTGGTTAAAAGGATGCAGACCAATACACGATGCACGCTCGGCCATAGAAAGAACATTATTTTTTTTGTAAATTGGCAGATGCAAGAGAAATAATTATAACAGCTCGCGCAGCAGGTCATGCACATGTGTACACATTATAGTGACATTGGCAAGCAAAGAATATACTTCTTGGAACAGTCAAGAATAAGGGGGAAGAAAATTATTCAAAATATCTCATAAACATGACTGTCACCGGAGAGATCCTGAGAGACCCATATACATACATATATTTCTAACCTGCCTCCACAAAATATTCTCCTTGAATCGGATGCAGTAACGATTACTCTGTGACAAAGTGCTTATTTCACGCAACTGGATAGGGTGGAACGGTGTCGCCATAAGCTGGTGGTGGTGGCATGCCAGCTACTTGATCAGCGGAGGAAACATCCACTCCGGCCTGGGGTGTGCCGGAAGCGCCGGTTGCGTATGCCGGCGAATACCCAGGTACATAGCCGGGAGGATTGTACCCTTGCTGTGGTGGCATTGCATTGCCACTGTGATGAGGGTTGAACGCTGGCTGTGGTGGCTTTGCCATGCCAGCGTCATGAGGGGGGTATGGCGGCTGCGGCATTGCGGGGTGGTATTCCGGCTGTGGCACTTTGGTGCCAGCGTCATGAGGGTTGTGTGCTGGCTGTGGCATTGCAGAACCAGCGCTGTATGGAGCTTGCGGCATATTACCAGCGTTATACTCTGCATATTTGGTTTGAGGCGGAATATTGGGAGCGTTCGGTGCTGCTACTGTGTGGGCGACAGTAGGTGCAGGACTTGAGGCCAGCACTACCGTGGATGTCGCGTTGCCGGAGCGACCAGGCCCCCTGTTCTGAGATACTGCCACCATTTGACACTGGCCGGACGTCGCTGTTGTTGTTGTCGTTGTGCCGCCACCCACCTGGCTCACCGACGACAGTAGGGGCTGGTTACGATTCAAATACAGCCGTCGTCTCCTAGCGGAACGCCCGATCAAGCCGCCGACGATGACGAATGCGACGACCACGCCGAGGATGATGAAGGCAATCGAGGTGCTGCTCAGACTGGTCACAGCGCTAATGGCCGAGTCGATATCTGAACAAAACATGATAACAATACCAACGGTGGCCAATTTAGGGATGTTGTGATACGATGGCACAGCAAACTGCGGCCCTCTTCTTGCCAGATAGCCAGGATTCAAGCGTGTGGAATGCCAGTACCGCCAGGGAACGCATGGAAAGACAAGTGGGGTTCTTAGACTACAGTCCATTCAGAAAAAGATGAGCGCTGGCTCTGGAGAGCTGCCTGCCCCATATGTCCCACGCTTGGGACTCGACCACCCCCGATAGACGTCTTCCTTCACCTTCCACACACGAGTTCTCTTTACTCAGGAGTGGCTGGCGGAACACAACCATGACTACCTTCCATCAGCTTTAAAAAAAATGCCTGAACCGACTCACTTGAGGCATCCAAATAAACAGAAAAACCACAAGGAAATTGAGCCAACAACAATGAAGACTAAAAGACTATGGAGTGTATGGATCCAGCATATGTCTCCCCCCCCCCCCCCAGCATAAAAAGCAAGCAATGGGTACATGGGCAACGAAAACAGTTGCAAAGGGCAGCCCGTGATTGTATGAGTGCAAACAGGTATGACAGCAGCCATGGGCTATTGTAGCAGCGGACAGAACAATAGAGAAGGAGGTAACAGCTACAGCATGAGGCGTGCGATGTTGACCGGGGTTGGGGAAGCGGTACTGTCCCGAGTTTCCTTCATCCAGGGAGTAGGACTGGGGTTCCCGAACACGCTGAAGTAAACAAAGTGTACGTTCCAGATGGAGCGATAGCTCGACCAGCAGGTAGGTCCTCATTCAGTCACGGCAGTCTGCAATGCTCGAGGTTAAGGAACATGACTGCACACTGCACACCTCCATTATTATCACGCCAAACCCATTCCTGGAGGCTAATTGGGAAGTGCATCGATTTTGAAGTAGGGCTCAGATGAAAGATAATTTGATATCGGTTCCGATGGTATATCTCTCGCTTGCATACGGCACCAGTTACTAAACAATCAGCTCATGCGGTAACAGTGCACGACACTGACCGACGGTACTGACGTTCTACAACTAACTGGCTAACAGCTCTAGCACATCTTGGATGCGCACTTCAACAGCCTTCCAACTTGGAGGGTTCTAAGTTTTAGAAATAGCATAAGGAGGGGAAGGTGAGCATGAGCTGATTGTCTAGTAACTGGTGGTGTTCGTGGACATTATAGCCTAACTTGTAGTTCCTTTGTCCATTTTTTCTCTCTTTAAAGTAGGAGTAAATGAACAGTTTCCATTACAAACAATAATAATTGTTTTCTTGCATCCTCTCAATGATGATATACAACTTACTTTGGCTGGCACAGAATGCACCAGTATAGCCGGAATCACAAGAACAGGTCTTCAGCCCCAGCGAGTTATAACTGCAGTCGCCGTTCAAATTGCAGTAACTGGAAGAGCAAGCTAGGCATCACGAGAAAATCATAGAAAACAATATCGGCGATGAATGGGAAGAGATGAGATAGAAGGATATAGTAGAATAGACTATAGCTACGAGAGCAATACACGGGGCCCTCAAACACGGGTGAAATGTTTTGAACGCACTTTGCTAGCCCAAGTCTGCGCTGCCGTGCTGCAAAGTATCCTAAAGAGATCATGCCCACGGCTCATTTGGTGAAGAATAAAAAAAGGTGCTGCTCCTGTTTCCGTCATAAGACCTGCCAATTTTGTTGGACTTGATTGACGTGGATGGAGGGTTATACACTTCCTCTAGATCTACATTATTATAATATGGTGTTTCTTCGATGATTGCCGGCATGCTGTAGTAGCCGCTGCCACATGCCCACTTTTTACATTCTAAACAACATTACAGACCGGTTTGCACGGTTGTAATGGAATTTAGCACCTTCGCGTTTACCACTGACTATGCAATTGTGTTGAGAATTGATTTTTCCCTAGTGCCAGGCGTTCACCATGCCTGGTTATACCAGGGCCTCAGATGGCGCACTTGGAGAGGTTGAGGGTGCAGTGGTAAGTCTCACAGGTAGTCCACCCGACCGGCACGTTCAAGGCCAACACATGTTAAAGCTGTAAAGCTTGCAACGACTTACTCGCGGTCAAGTAACCATACTGGCACTGAGAACCATAGTAGGAGCTAGTGCAGGAGCAGCTGTATGTGCTACTGCCACCTGACGTAGAACATGTTCCACCGTTGTTACATGGCTGATTAGAGCAGGCTGAAATAGAGACCAAACACACGCACAGACACACACACACACACAAACACACGCTTGCCCACAAGTATGCACACACAAGCAATAGGATCAACGCTCTTTGAGTCATGGCTCTTACAGACACACAGATCTACAAGCGCTCAAAGACAGCACTTGCTCAGTGATGGCGTACTTGATTTTCTTTTTCTGCACTTATTTCAGCTTGAAAACTTCAGTTCAAATCGAGCAATGGAACAGCAGGAAAATAGCAGGAGAGTTTAAAAAGCAGCTCAATACAAGCAAAGTGAGGAATGACGGCTGAACGCAAACTTCATTTGCCTTCCGCGTCTGTTCTATTACGCTCTAAAGCTGACCTTCAAAAGACTGGCTCTTCAGGAAGCCAAAGACCATGAGATTAGCTGAATAGATGCCAGAGTTATGGTCTTTTACGAGAGAGAGAGAGAGAGAGAGAGAGAGAGAGAGAGAGAGAGAGTGTGTGTGCACGTGTGTATGTGTGAGCACACGTGCGAATGAGTGGATGTGTGTGCGTGAGGTATTTGGCATCAATCATGATCAATTGTACATGTGCAGTTGGTGCTGACTAGGAAGTGTGCAGAACTGATCACTGCACACTAATGCGACCACCGCCTGCTACACCTAGCGTGAATTCACTTACCGTCCAATGCTGTGCTATACTGACAATTGTCTCCGTAGAACGTCGCGAAGCAGGTGCAGGTGTACGTTCCCGGGAAAAAGCCATCCTTGCAGGTGCCAAAGCTGCAGGGCAGGTCGGAGCAACCTGCACATACAAGCAGCAGAGTGCCATGACTAAACGATCACCAAGTGATCGACAGGCGTTGCAAGCATGATCTGATGACCGGATTGCACGTCTGCACGACAAACAGTTCAATAAAAAATTCTCCCAACTTCCCTAATTCAATAGAATTCCCGTTAAGTCGTGTATAAAGGCCGGGGCTTATATGGCATTTTGGGGAAATTTTGCAGGCTTCTATATGAGACAGGCGTCCTTACGAGACAGGTCTTCCTTTGTATGTAAACACTAAAATCAGGCTTATGTGCCGACAGTGTATCTTGAAAATCAGGCTACTACTCAAGACAGGATTCTTTACGAGACTAATACAAGACACTACGAGTACGGTATTGATAATATACTGTAAGAGTTGAATTTCTAACGGGGCACAACGTGTAGTGCATTTTTACTTCTGGTGTGGTGACCTTCGTGGTCAGCCGTGAATTGAGCGCATTGGCGCCACAGTCAGTACTACATACCTGCCTCCCATGAGTATGTGGTTAACGCAGGAGGGTTTCTTTCGCCCTCTAGTTTTCCGCATAGGATTATTCTGCCATATTTCACTTGTAAGTTACTTCAGTAAGAAATATTCAGCGCGTACCAGTATAACGCCCGCTACCCGTGCACACGCCCAGTTGCCGGGTGTCAACACTCTTGTTCCATTTTCTAGCCCACCTCCGTGTAAACGCCCATGGGCCAAAGCACAGGTCCATAGCACAGTGCAGTGTATGCACAGCTCCAAGTGCATGTACCGTCTGTCGTGTACGTGCAAGTGGTATGTAATACTGACTGTTGCGCCAATGCGTTCAATTCACGGCTGACCACGAATTTCACCACACCAGAAGTATAATAGCTGTTGGTTGGTCTTTCAGCTTTTGCGGAATTTTATTCTTGGTTGTAACCCCTACGTTACTTAGAGATTTGGACAAATGAATACAATCTGAATTGAGCAACTACTCGTCAACACAGTTGACCCTCCCCCCCCTCCCTACACACACACACACACCCACGTGCGCACATTCAGTACAACAACCCTGAGGCTCAACTCTCAACACAGCACAACTCTCAGGACAAACCAGGAAAACCATACTTCATGAATTGAATCGCATAGTACATCTAACGCTAGTCGCTACACCACCCTAGCACAACACACGCCATTCTCTGAACTCGAACGCGGCGCTACGATCTAACTTCATTCATCCGGTCGAATTATTTGATCAAGTCTTTGCGATTTGGCATGCTCCGACTCAACCCCGCACCCACGCACCGCCGAAAATTTTTCAGGGAAAAACTAGACGGGGAACGTTACTCTTCGCCACCAATGCCAATGGGCGAAATGACCAGACAATAAAACAGTTGACGAATTCATACTCACTTGTGGCGTTGGATTTGCCTGGCAGCGAGACAAGCCATAGAACGGCAGCAGATAAGAGTAGAGCGGCGCGTGAGCGGCTTTCCATTTTACAATTGCAAGAAAACTCGGACCTGAGTCGCCACGAAGCACTTGGGAGTGACTCGCTAAGAGTTACTTCTGCGATTCCTTTCGCTAAACAACAACCTCTGTGATTATCTCCCCACGGGCACAATAGGAGATTTCAAAGAACTGGATTGTTTGCGAGCGAACAGCAAGGCACTCGCTACAATGTAGATAGATCTAACACGTTTTTGTACTTTCACATTTCATTTGCCTGAGCCCGAAAAATAAGCTGCCACTGAACGATGTGAATGAACGAACGAAGTAGTCTACCAGCTTGCCCTTGGAAAACAATACAGGCGCCTAGGCACAACGGGCCGACCGGCTGGGCGGATCAGTTGCTTTCACCGAAAGTATAATTAGTTTCGGTAAAATTTTATCTGATTCTTCGGTAAGTGAGGTTTTGCATTCCGAAATTCGGCAAAAAGATTCGGCACGCGGGAGCGAGGTCGAAAATGCACACGAAGATTCGGAGTGTTTGTTCGGAAAAAGCTCACTTTGCCGAAAATATTTTTCGGATGCATTTCTTGTAGAAGAGCGCTAGCGCGTGACTTATTCAAGGAGGTGTCTTATCTCGGCATCGCTTGGCAGGCGTCTTTGGCGACATAGCATCATCAGCTACGTCTGATTGCTGCTCTCCACTGCCTGTCTACTCTCTTTCGCCTGGAGTGTCCTCACCGTCATCTGTGTGGCTGAAAAGACTATGGCGACACGCATAAAATTTGACTTGGCTATGGAGTTGGTTTTTCTGAGGCGACTGAGGAGGCAGGTTTGGCCCTCGACTCTTTGGGCGATCAAAGTTCGTTGGAATCAGCAAGAAAAGGCGCACGGGACAGGACGTTGCTGATGCTGGGGCTCACGAAATGAAAACACATCATTTTCGACTTGCAAAACAAACGTTGGTGCGAAAATTCGACATTTTGATGTTCGACAAATGACCGAAGAACGCTGTACCGAAATTCGGAATGCAAAACCTCACTAATGTATGCGGTACGAACCGGGGAGTCGACCCGGGAGGCGACACGCGCATCACTTGTGCACAACCATGATCGACTCAACGATTCAAAATATTACGACCTGCTCGGTGTGGGACAAGTCCGTATATAACATACATGTAGGTCATAGCGCGCGGGAAATCCGTACATAGCGAGAAATCGTCGTCTTCGTCCTTTCGCCGAACAATTGTGGTCAGACTTTCGATCTCCATTGCCGAAATACAGCCATCTGTGGCCATCGCTGAGGAGTTCACTAATAAAGGGTCTTGTTGAATGGCTTACTCACTGGCTTTGCACTGCCACTGGAACTCTGAGGCACTTTGACCACCTAAGATGAGGTAATCCTTTCTTTAGGCCGATTCCACACTACACCAAATCCTGCCTAAAAAGCCATTTTTCAGGCACTTTTCAGGCAAGTTGCCATGGCGATCACTTTGAGGAACGCGCGAAAGTGAAAAGTGCTTGTTGTCTACAAAGCAACACCAGCACCCTCTTTCAAGGCAACTTTTTACCTTTTCAGGACACTTTTCTGACTTTTCTTCAGCCTTTCGATTTTTTCCGAATGTGTTCCCTGTCGTATCTTTCAGTTGTGGTGAGTTGTGAGCTGTCAACAATGCCTAGGGTCATGCTTAGCCAGGAGCTTGAGGGCAAGCTGATCGAGCTTTGGAGCGGACATTTGAGGCGACCTCCGGGCGGTACAGTTCGCAGCAGGGAGTAGTACAATACCGTATTGTACTACTCCCTGGTTCGCAGGAGCTACGCCGGAGGAGATCGCCATCAAGCTGAATTTGTTTGCTGAACAGCTCCGGGAGGAGGCAATCTATACTGCGTCGATCGTCCATTCCAAAATTGACAACATGAAAACGAAGGCGAAAGGACTGTACGAGACATACACAACGAAAACTGCCACCGGACTGGAATGCCTGTTGGCGAGGTTGACAAATATTCGACCTAGGATCTGGAATCCGCCTACACAGCGCGCGCTAGCGTGGTCAAATTTCAAGATTGGGCACCCGAAAATGGGTGATATTCGAGGATTTGGACCAACAAAGAGCCTCTCCACTACCGCCGTTGCTACATCAAGCACAGGAAAGCCTCACAGTCTAACCTTCAAAGCAAAATCCCGTGATCGACACTTGTAGGTGTGAATGCAGCTTCACTTTATAAGCCACTTTATGCCTTCAAGGCAAAGCCACTTTCGGCGTAGTGTGGAATCGGCCTTACAAATTGCCTCAATATGTTCTCACCTTTAGGGCAATGAAGTAATTTTTTTCCTCGTGACTAACTTCGACAGACCAAGTTGCCCTGTCCCAGTGATCTACAATACTTATATTGCACATTTGTGAAATATTGGACCTATCCAGATAACGAAATGACTTTTACTCGAAATTACATTTTCCAAAGTTTTCCTTCACAAATAGTCCCAATTTGTTTTCACCTTCAGGGCAATAAAGTCAATTTTTCTTCAGGACTAACATCGGCTAACAAAGTGGCGCTGTCCCAGTGATCTACAATACTTATAATCATTGCACATGTGAAATATTGGGAGTCACAGAGTGAGGAAATGGCCTAAATTGAAACTTGAACTGTTCTGCCAAGTTTTATGCAGTGAACGCAGGGCTGAGAGCCCGCAAGAGCCATCCCGGAAGATCTTGTGCGCCACCAACCGAACCTTCAGTAAATGTTCACAAGGTTAGAAGCTCGCACATATAACACACATTGGATGCTAATAGTAATACAATGCACTCAAGAATGTGTGCAAATACAACAGAATTAATTGCAAATAAAGTCAACAATAGCTGCCTCAACACAGTGCTATCAACCTTCCGTATTTTCCATATTTGTACGGAAAATCACTACTTCGTCCGCGCTATGGATTTTGAGAAAAATATACGGAAAATTGAACGGGATTGATCAGTATGTATAAGCATTGCAAGCGCAAGCTGAGCGATGAAAAGAAGAGAACCGAGTGGAAAGAAAACGCTGCAGTGGAGAGTCCTTAGAAAAGACTTAAAAAATATCATATCGCTGCACGAGATCATCCTTATACGTGTAAGTTATAACTTCAGCTGATCGTACTGTGGTTGATTCATACGGCGGTAAATACACACCTGCCTACACACGCTCTCTAAACTGAAAAGTTATTCTGGCACAGAGCTCTATTTCCCGCCACCACCATCATCAGTTCGCGTCTGGCGCCTAGTCGATGAAGGGTAAGTGGTGTCCGACATAGCAGGCTGGTAAATCAGGTAGCGTATGGCGCATAGCAGATGACACAGCAACAACATAGCTTGATTGCGACGTACCTTTTGTCCCGGCTGGACTCATCAGGCAATCTTCTTCTTAGATGTCTTCACAAGGAGCTTGACTCGGGAGAATGAAGTTGAACACTCCACTGCAACTGCACTTATGGTTGGTTCATATGGTGGTAAATACACACCAGGCAATATGGGGGTAAATGCACGCCTGCCCAGACACGCTATCTAAACTGCAAAGTTATTCTTGCACAGAGCTCTCCTTCTCACCACCACCACCATCAGTTCGCGCCTGGCGCCTAGTCTATGCATGGTTAGCGGTATCCGACATAGCAGGCTGGCACATCAGGAACGAGTGGGCGTTCTCTCACGGACTCCCACAGATCCAAGTCAATTTTTGAATTTGTTCAGGTTTAGCACGTGCTACGAGGTCGTACCTTTGATACAACATCCAGTGCTGGGACCTCCACAGCAAGCCATTTCTACAGCGCTGCACACCAAATCCAGGATGCCCTCAGAAACCGGCAAAGACTGCCACTCACGTTTCACTACTGCCTAGTACTGAATCCTACCTGACTTCTTGACACGACTCAAACTTGCCAAAATCACTAAATCAACGTCAACCACAATAATCAAGCCACATATCTGCAACGTCACGAGGGTGCTGGCAAAAGTCCTGCTGCACGGCGGCGGGCTTCGAATTCGTAAATTCATATTGAGTGCTACGTCAGTTGAAAGAGCATGAGTAGCTGCAAATTAAGTGTGCAGAATTTTGCCCCAAGTCCAAAAAAGTCCAAAAAAGCACGTTAAAAAACCAAGTATTGTCAGTTGAAAGAGCATTCATATTGAGTGCTACGTCAGTTGAAAGAGCATGAGTAGCTGCAAATTAAGTGTGCAGAATTTTGCCCCAAGTCCAAAAAAGTCCAAAAAATCACGTTAAAAAACCAAGTATTGGGCTGCACGGCGGCGGGCTTTGCCCGCCGCCGTGCAGCAGGACTTTAGCCAGCACCCTCGTTACGTTGCAGATATGTGGCTTGATTATTGTGGTTGACGTTGATTTAGTGACTTTGGCAAGTTTGAGTCATGTCAAGAAGTCAGGTAGGATTCAGTACTAGGCAGTAGTGAAACGTGAGTGGCAGTCTTTGCCGGTTTCTGAGGGCATCCTGGATTTGGTGTGCAGCGCTGTGAAAATGGCTTGCTGTGGAGGTCCCAGCACTGGATGTTGTATCAAAGGTACGACCTCGTAGCACGTACTAAACCTGAACAAATTCAAAAATTGACTTGGATCTGTGGGAGTCCGTGAGAGAACGCCCACTCGTTCCGTTGTGACAGATTCCAGGACCACGTTGAGGGGCCCTACCCCACCACCCATGGCTGCTTCTCGACTTGTTTTAAGTTTGGGTCCCGCGCACGGACAGAATGGGCACGAAAATGTGAAAAAAATGTAAATGCATTCGTTTGGTTCCTGGGTGGCTCGCACACCGTGGCACTATGCCGGAAATTTGAGTTTTTCCGGCCTGGAAAGCCTGTCAGTGGGGCGCAAGAACTTGTAAATCATGTCCTGAGGGCCAGCATAGTGGCAGGAGTGTGTGGTCAAAATTTCACTCAAATCCACTGAGAAACACCAAAGGTACGGTCAATTGAATGCCATATGAAATTTATGGGTAGGCTGCCCCCTTAAGGGGGCAGCCTACCCATAAATTTTGGGGCAAAATTCTGCACACTTAATTTGCAGCTACTCATGCTCTTTCAACTGACGTAGCACTCAATATGAATTTACAAATTCGATTTTTCAGCGAATTTTTGGGTAGTCTGCCACCTTAAGGGGGCAGCCTACCCATAAATTTCATATGGCATTCAATTGACCGTAACTTTGGTGTTTCTCAGTGGATTTGAGTGAAATTTTGACCACACACTCCTGCCACTATGCTGGCCCTCAGGACATGATTTACAAGTTCTTGCGCCCCACTGACAGGCTTTCCAGGCCGGAAAAACTCAAATTTCCGGCATAGTGCCACGGTGTGCGAGCCACCCAGGAACCAAACGAATGCATTTACATTTTTTTCACATTTTCGTGCCCATTCTGTCCGTGCGCGGGACCCAAACCTAAAACAAGTCCAGAAGCAGCCATGGGTGGTGGCGTAGGGCCCCTCAACGTGGCCCTGCAATCTGTCACAACAGAACGAGTGGGCGTTCTCTCACGGACTCCCACAGATCCAAGCCAATTTTTGAATTTGTTCAGGTTTAGCACGTGCTACGAGGTCGTACCTTTGATACAACATCCAGTGCTGGGACCTCCACAGCAAGCCATTTCTACAGCGCTGCACACCAAATCCAAGATGCCCTCAGAAACCGGCAAAGACTGCCACTCACGTTTCACTACTGCCTAGTACTGAATCCTACCTGACTTCTTGACACGACTCAAACTTGCCAAAGTCACTAAATCGACGTCAACTACAATAATCAAGCCACATATCTGCAACGTCACGAGGGTGCTGGCAAAAGTCCTGCTGCACGGTGGCGGGCTTCGGCTTCGCCCGCCGCCGTGCAGCCTCATACGTGGTTTTTTAACGTGATTTTTTGGACTTTTTTGGACTTGGGGCAAAATTATGACACTTAATTTGCAGCTACTCATTCTCTTTCAACTGACGCAGCACTCAATATGAATTTACAAATTCGATTTTTCAGCGAATTTTTGGGTAGTCTGCCACCTTAAGGGGTCAGCCTACCCATAAATTTCATTTGGCATTCAATTGACCGTAACTTTGG